ATGTTATTGTGCAGCACGCAAGATCGACAGCGCACAATGTGCTTTGAGGTAGCAGCCAAGAACAGTGTAGTTTGTTTCTGTGAACACCTGTGTGTACACCTGTGTACCCAAGAACCCAAGGAGGACCATTAACCATGCCGCCCTCCTGGGAAGAGCTGAGGAGAGCCCCAGACGAGGGGTGTTAGGTTTGTAGCATAAACCTATTCTCTGGAACGTTCAAGACAATTCTACTACACAGCAAAGCAAGACACAAGTCGGCAAAGTTTTTTGTATTGCTCGTGCACGAGGGAGAGAAGCGTCGTTCCTTCGCTTGACCCCAGTTGCTCTTGTCTGCTCCCTCGTAACACTGCTCTTTGTTGCGGTTACATGACTATGCATAAATTCATTAACCTATGATGTCTTACATAGACGTACATGTGAACAAAGAATACCAGTCTGTGCATAGTGTAGGTATGTGTGTGTGTGTGCATGTGTGTGTGTGTGTGTGTGTGTCAAGATGTGACCCTGTGAATGACTCCCCCAAAGCTGGAGCCAGGAGTCCAGCGGTCCACCTAAACAACAGGCACTTATAGTTAAACAGATACAGAGTAGGTGTCCTCCCATAGCATAAATCAGTAAGAGAAGGTACAACCTCTCTTAAGACCTTAAGATGTGTGTGTATGCCAGAGTGCTCTGGGAGGCACACAGAGTCTTTGCAGACTGCTAAGGATCAGACCTCTATCATTATGCAATCGATTATAAAACTCTAAGCATATATGAGTACCTATTTCTAAGCATAAATGACAATCCACAATATAAACCTAACAAGGGGTCACTTGCCCGCGGGCTCTGCTGGCAGCCAGCTGTGCCAGAGAGGACCGAGCTCCAGGCCCAGAGGCCAGAGGCCTGAGGGCCCCCCACCCCCTGGAAGGGGCCCAACCGGGTCACAGGCTCCAGGCCCTGCCAAGCGGCCACCAGGAGTTAGCCGGTACATACGTGAGCTCCCAGCCCCAGACACCAAGAACCATCAACGCACCGATGTCTGAGGGCATCAGCCTGGGTGCGACATCACTGCAAAGTTTGAAATAGACACGCACTTGCAAGTGCTGCAGTAGAAATGAAGAATGACAGGGACTGGGTCCATACGTATAATGCACACAAATATAAACCGTGTACTACTTCTTTTAAATAGTTTGGAGTTTGAGATCTTTCCTAAAAACACAGATGGATAGAGCATAGGTCCTGTGATATGAAAAAGTCTCTTGATGTATTGTAAGTTTTAACATTTGAAAATTTCTGTATTACAAAGTAAAAAGAGACTATAATAAAGTCACTGAAAAAATTATACTTCTCTATTTTTTCACCTTAACATGGTCTTTGCGTGTCTTAGTGACCATAAAAGCTAGACCAGCAGAAGCTTAGCCTTCAGGTGGGACACCCAAGTTGGTCAGGTCTTAGGGTAGAGGCCTGACAAAGTGCAAACCAATTACATGACAAAAACTGTTAGCCAGAGTAGGGCTGCTATAATTAGTTGACCAGTCACGATTACGTCTATCAAAATCGTCAACGACTAATTTAATAGTTGGTGCGTTGTTTGAAGCTTTGTAAGATCCTGAAAGACGCAGGAATAAGTAGCAAGTAAATCAGTAAAGCGAGTAAATCGGTTTGACTGAGATTAAAGTTTCACACAGCTGAAAAAACGTCAAACAGAAAACTAATTAAACAGAAGTGTGAGATGGTACAGAATTTACTCCAGTGTCCTGTTATATTTTAGATAGCAAGGAGAAGATGACTGAGTTTATTAAACTCCACCGAGACAATCTGCAAATTTCATTAAGAGTTTAATAAACTATGATCTTGTCTTTATTTTTAGTTAGCACATACTTCAAGCTGTAAGCTAATGATAGTTATATAAAAGCAGATGCATGCTGGTGCAATAAGATGTTCGCTTTATGTCCAATGGATGCACGATCTGATTAGTCGACTAATCGCAAAAATAATCGGCGACTAGTCGACTATCAAAATAATCGTTTGTGGAACCCTGAATCCAGAGCACCCCACACAGCCCCCACACCTTTCTCGCCTGCATTGCCACCTTGTGCCCCCTTTACATTTCTGTCTGCCCCCTCATATATGCCTGTCTAGAACCGGCCCGGAGTACAAGGACAGTTTACCATCTCCAGAGACAACAGCAGATAGCAGGTGTTTTTGCAGATGAACAGTCTGAGGACTGAAGATTCTGCTGTTTATTCAGGTGAAGGCAGTTTTCCCATCTCCAGAAAAACAACAGACATGTGCAGATGAAAAGTGCAAAGAATGACTGACTGAAGCTGTTTGTACAAAATCTTAGAGTCATCCTCTCTATACGACAGACATTTATCAAGTGTTATCTTTAATTTTACCGTGGCACGGTGGGGCAGCACGGTGGCACGGTGGTTAGCACTGTTGCCGCACAGCAAGAAGGGCCTGAGTTCAATTCCACCATCAGGCCGGGGTCTTTCTGTGTGGAGTTTGCATGTTCTCCCCGTGTTTGCGTGGGTTCTCTCCGGGTAAAGACATGCAGCTTGTGGGGATAGGTTAATTGATTAATCCAAATTGTCACTAGGTGTGAATGTGCAAGTGAATGTGAGTGTGAATGGTTGTCTGTCCCTGTGTGTAAGCCCTGCGACAGACTGGCAACCTGTCCAGGGTGTACCCCGCCTTTCGCCCTATGACAGCTGGGATAGGCTCCAGCGCCCCCCGCGACCCTGAAAAGGATAAGCGGAAGCGAATGGATGGATGGATGGATCTTTAATTTTACTTTTAAAATAATTTTAATATATAAAACAATGTCAATTTTAAGAATATTTTAGTATATCTGACATGTTAATGTGTTATATTCTACACTTTTCATTACAAATGTATTGTTCCATTAATTATTATTTATTTTGAAGTAACTAAAACAGAGCCATCTTTCATCTTTTATGGAATACAGTATTCAAATATCCAACTCCATGTTTTAATTGTACCAGAATGTGAAGAATTCTAAAGTTAGTATTTGCTAAATCAATTTGTTTGTCACATTTTTACTTTTTTTGTTCATAACATGTTAAAAACAGCACAATTAGAATACTATTGGTGATAAAATTATAACCAGTGATATCACAATACTCAGTGACATTTGGTTGTGAGCAGTTTTTGATTTCTGCAGCCATATAAATGTGGATTTAAAATGTACAAAATGATAACTGTTTAAAAACCACTCATAATAAGTACTTTTGGGTAAAATGATCTACCACTGGTTTATCCCAGCAAACCAAAGCATTAGTAAGCAATTACAAGGTTTAAAGATTTTTGAAAAAATACCAAAACATGTAAAATTTATATTATTTAATATTCTTTTTAATTACTAGATGGTCTACAAAAAGAAAAAAAAAAGGAAATCTTAATACTATATTGTTTTCAGATATATTAAATGCAATGAAACACTCATTTGTTTCATTGCTGTTATACTGAATTGTGAAATAAAAAAAATTACGTATGTAGGTCTAAGTAGGTGCATAACAGACGTAACACGCACACTCTTTGATTGGCTCCAGTTAGACCAGCTATGATGTGTATGATCCTATGCAAACTCATAGGCTTTCTCTCTTACAGGGTTATAAAAACTTTACATCAGATTGTGAAGCAGAGTTCACAACACAACAGACACCAAACAATATGTTGTCTGTAGCTCTGCTAGTGTTCTTAGCTGCTGGATGTGAGTCTCTGTAGATTTGTTATATCCAGCATTTCTTCTTTGTGTTATAATTTACAACAAAACATGTATTTTTTCAGCAGGTGTCAAGTGTGAACAGCTGACACAGCCAGACTTTTTGAGTGTGCTTTTAGGTCACCCTCTGACCATCACCTGTAAGGTGTCTTATTCTGTGCGCAGCTATTGGACTCACTGGAATAGACAGGCTCCAGGAAAAGGACTAGAGTGGATTGGAAGAGCAGCTTCTGGAAGCACACCTCACTACAGTCCTTTACTCAGAAATAAGTTCAGCATTTCCACCGACTCCTCCAGGAACACAGTGATTCTAACTGGACAGAATGTGCAACCTGAAGACAGTGCTGTGTATTACTGTGCCAGAGACTCACAGTGACGCAAAACACTAGTGGACTTGAACAAAAACCATTCAGTGTCTAAACAGCTCTAATATTAACAAACCACAGAAGGAGCTCTTGGACCACTGATGCTTTCAAGTTGTCATCAGCGTTAAAGGAAGTAGCTGTATATATGGCAGTGATGCACTACTCACAATATTAAAAAACATGCTTCAGTTAAGATGAGCATAGTACGTGATTTGATTGAAGACTTCAACCACCTTGAGACAAATATGTTTGAATGCATGTCTATGTAGAAAACAACTACAATCATTCATTAATCCAGACATGACTGGAACATCTGTGTGGCTGGTTGATTTGTGTTCTCTTTACGGTAGCAACTACTTGTTGATAATCGAATTTAAAATAGGGGATCAGAAGAAAAAAAGGATGAACACTATATCCTTTCTGTGGGGAGGAGTTAATGCAAAACTTGGATGGTTTTAAAGAATACTCTTGTGACTGAAGTGTGAATGACAGGAGTGAACTCACAGTTTAACATAATGGACATATCGGCCAGACTGCTGATTATCTTACTGTTCTGGGGAGGTATAGTTTCAGTCATTTTGAGCTGAATTCCTTTTAATGATTTTCCAACTCACAGCAGGTGACAATGTTCTTGTTTGTTTTGACAGGTGTTGATGGTCAGACTCTGACAGAATCTGAACCAGTCATTAAAAGGCCTGGAGACTCCCACAGACTGACCTGCACAGCCTCTGGATTCACATTTAGCAGCTATGATATGCACTGGGTCAGACAGACTCCTGGGAAAGTACTGGAATGGGTTGCCGAAGTTAGTACTGGTAGTAGCAAATACTACTCTCAGTCAGTCCAAGGCCGGTTTACCATCTCCAGAGACAACAGCAGACAGCAGCTGTATCTGCAGATGAACAGCCTGAAGACTGAAGATTCTGCTGTTTATTATTGTGCTCGAGAGTCACAGTGATACAAGAGGAAGAAACACTATACAAAAACTCAGAAAACCAAAAATGAATAAATAAAAAAAGCTAAATTTTATTCTTCAATTCCCATTTACAAACTGAAGTTCCTTGAACAGTACAAAATCCAATAGTCTTTATCCTGTTTACATGTATCTGATAATCAATGTTTGGTATAGTAGAGAAAATTATGTATTTTAGTTTTTCTCATTTTCAGAACTTTTGTAAATATTAATACACGGTAATTTCTTCATCCCAACTTTTAGTTAGTGTAAAAATGAGATATTCAAGAAGATTCAACATTGTAGATTGTTGTTGCGTGAGTTATCTACCGAGGGATGCATTTGTGTTACATCGTCTCCTTTTATAACCTGTAGAGTGACAAATTTCCAAAGACAAGAAGCGAGAGCAGCTAAATTGGGTCTTAATGGTACTGCAGACTGTGTAACTAAAAAAACCTTCAGACCGTGGTTTAAAACTCACACATGATTCAGAAAAATAAACTGCATGTGGCATAAACGCTAATCACACTTGGCAATCTTTCTTCTGTAAAAAACTTCACATCAGATTTAGAGAAGAATTTATCAGATCAGATATTAGATCAGATGTTGACAGTGGCTGCTAGAATTACACTAAGAAAAGAGCAACAGTGAATAATTCATATGCTTTACACATATGCTTAAAATATAGTAAACAAAAAAAAGCATTAAAAGTTCTTATTATTAGATAAATACAGGCCAATCCACATCCACAGCGCTGGGATCAGCAGCTTATGTGATACCAAAAATGCAAAATGTTAGCTTTTAAAACTTGTTGCATTTTAGTCTATTATTACAAGATTTGAGAACTAAAATCTTTGGCAAATTGATAAGAAAATATGGATGTGGTACACATGCAAACTGATATGAGAAATTTAAATCTGCACTTTGTTTCTCTTACTGGCATAACCACACCTCACACCTGCTGTTTGTGATGCTCCGTTGCTCTTTGCATTCTTTCACTTCTGTGTTTTGGTACTTTTTTGAGACCTGGTTGTTACTCAATGCTTCCGCTTGCTGCTTGCCCTGATCACTCTGCCTTATCATGCATAACAACTGTGCAACAGACTTCCTGCCCTATTTTCGCCTTGCTGAACAACACTAAACAATGTAAAAGTACAACTCTAACATAACTTAATGACAACTGAAATTGAAGAGTTCTGCATTTACCAGAATCTGAAGGTATGTATAACTTAGATAAGATTAATGTTTTTCCTTGTTGTGTTCACACATGATATTTAGAATGAGTTATGTAAATCAAACTAATCTCTTCTTTATTTCAGTGCCATGGATTGTGTCGCCAAACATCACATTGTACCCAGTTTCGGACTGGGAATTTGGAATCTCACCAGTAAGGCTCATCTGCTAAATGGCTTTTTTCCAGACAAACTGGCTTTGGAGTGGTTTCAGGACAAATCACCATTGAGTCAAAACAAGAAGCCAAGCAGAACGAAGCTACAAAGTGAAGGGACAGAGCAGAAAACCTTCAGCCTGAGCAGCAAACTCTCAGTGTGGGGACAATGATCAACTTTTACCTGCAAAGCTAATCACAATTATACTGAATATAAGAAGACAATGAGCATTTGTCACAGTGAGTATGTACAGCTACCGTCTCAAAGCCCATATTCAACATGCACATTTGCAGGAATATGTAAAGCAAATTAAAAACAGTCTTAAGATAAAGTTTATTAATTAGCATGTTTTTCTTTAATTCCACAGAAATTCACCTTTCATTCATGTGGAGATTCCCAAGTTTAAGACTTTAGCGTCAGACTCTAATGTGCAAGGAACATGTTGGGTCCACACTAATTTTGATGCCATGATCTCCTGGCTGATTAATGGAGAGCCACGAATGAAAAAATGTGCAGAGAGTAAAACACAACTGGAAGCAAGTAAAGCATTTAACATGCAGAGGAGAGCAAACTCTACCATCTATATTTTTGGTAAAAGCTACTCTTGCTTCCCTTTTAGGCAGCTGATTTAACTTTGTTGATTTATACTTCAATGGTTTCTGTTAAATAGATTAGTTCATGCCCTGATTTGTCTCACTTTAGTGGACCCATCAATGGAGCTTCTTCTGGTCCAAAGTAAGGAGTCAAGATCACAGAGACTCTTATGCTCTGGATGGGTCTTCAACGCTCATATTAGATGGTTTAACGAGTCTCAGCAAAGACCAACAACCACTGATATCAGCATGAGTGTAGATGGACATGCTGGAGTGACCAGCCAACTTATAATTGATCACTCTGAGTGGGAAACAGGAAAGATATTTTCTTGCACAGTATCTGACAGATCTCTGAATAGAAATATCACAAGAAATATCAGTTTCTGTACAGGTAAAGTGAAAACACTATTATTGTGATACACATTAAGAATTGTTTTGTTTTGGGTTTTTTTCCGAGTACCTCCATCATCCTCACAGCTAGTTGTGGTTTATGTTCAGGGACCATCATCACTGTAGCAGCCTGAGAACAAAGGACCTGTGACTGTTATCTGTCTTCTGGTTGCCCCTAGTCTTAAAGATTTCTCCATCACCTGGAAATCAGCTGGCAACAAAATTCCTGACTGTTATGTCCTAACTAATCCTGCAGTGAGTTACAACAATGGGACAGAGACAGAACTTCCTTAATGTGTCAGCAGAAAATTGGGATGCAGATAAACAAGGGTTTTGTGAAGGAAAGCATCCTTGTTCCAATCAGGGCAATGAAGACCATATAAGCAAAACCAGAGGTAATGTTAGAAATGTAACAAATATATTACAGCTCTTTCTAAACTTCATGTTCCTCTGGTTGTGACTATATTTTTATGGTTCTGTCCCTTTAGTGTTTTTCAAGACCTTTGTGTGCCAACAGTGAAGACAATGCAACCAACTGCCTCTGAAGTTTCAGTGTCTGACATCCTAACACTTATTTGCCTAGTGTCTGGAGTTTTCCCAGCAAACATCATAGTGCACTGGGAAGAAGATGGCCAGACTCTCCCATCCATGCATAATGTTAACAGTTCTCCATGGAAATACTCAGGGAGCAGCTCTTACTCTGTGAGCAGCAGACTAAACATATTCAAAACTGAAGACAAAAGGTCTACGTATTCCTGTGTTGTCAAACATGAGTCATCTGAAGCACTTGTTGAAGCCACCATAACTGATGTGTTTGGTGAGCTGCTGTTTAGCATTTAACATTAATCTTTTATTTCCATTATATTAATTTTAACAAAACTGATTAAAATGATTAACTGATTACTGAAACTGTAATGCACATCTTTCCAGCCTCAGTGATCTACAGCCAACCATCTGCCTACTTGCTTCAGGGCTCTAATGAACTTGTGTGCCTGGTTTTTGGCTTCAGTCCTGTATCCATTAACATCACTGGGTTTCCAAATGGACACACAGAACTGCTGAACTACAACACTAGTGACTCCAAAGATGCCCAAATGGAAAGTTCAGTGTCCAGAGCCACCTTGACCTGTCCCAAGTAAAAGAAGTGTGATTTATTTGGTGATATTGAGCATGCTGATGTGAGCTGAGGAAAGCTGGAATGTGGTTTTCACCCTCATTGGTTTTTCATCATCACCACCTTATATGGTATCATAGCTACATTGATTAAGATAAGTGCCTGTCATTTGATTGTTTAAAAGTAAGATTCCAGTCCAATTTTTAAATTATACTGGCCATTTTTACTATAATAATAACAATAATAATAATAATAATAATAATAATAATAATAAACACCATGTTTATCCTTCAGAAAATTGCTCCAAGATATTGTAATTCTCAGATTTTCCACAAGAGTGAGACAAAGCTTCATGTGCAGAAGCAGCAATATAGTTTCCACCTCTATGTAAAAAAACTACTCATGTAGTGATTTCAAGATGCCGATAAATGTGTTGGTATGCCAGCGGTGTTATGAAGAGGTGCAGTCATTTGAAAGCACAAAGACTGTTGTTGTAACTCTTCTTCTTTGCAAACATATGTAGTGTCCTTGTAAATCTGTACACTCCCTGTCTTTGAATGAATTGCATTTGTGTACTTTGGGGGTTTAGAGGAATTCACAACTGGCAGGGAGAGCACTAAACACACTAAAGCTTACTATTGGCAACCTCTGAAGTGATCTGTTGTGCATTCAGACTATCCCATATTTTCACGTTAACAAAAACACATTTATTAACATCGGAAATACTAGTATTTAATACATTACCAGGACACACCTTCTCATTTAATGCTTTTTCTTTATTTTCATGACTATTCACATTGTAGATTCTCACTGAAGACATCATAACTATGAATGAACACATATGAATGACCTGACGTCCTGGCTCGTCCTTGCCATAGCATTTGTGCTGTACCTCATCGATTGCTTTTTTGCTTCCCCCTGAGTTCCTGTGCTGCTCACTATTTCACCATGTACCAGGACACACTGATTGATGGTGAGTTAATGATACTTTTATCTGTCTATCATTTTATCTGTCTCACTTGTTTCTCTCTGTTTTCATCTCCTCAGCTGTTACAGGCCAGAGTATGGAGTCCATTCCTTCCAATCCTGTCGTGAAAAGGCCTGGAGAGACTCTCAGTTTCTCCTGTAAAGGATCTGGTTTCACAGTTAGTTGCTGTACTATGGATTGTATAAAACAACAACCAGGAAACGAACCGGAATGGATAGGAGAAGGCTTTTTATCTTCCAGCAGAAACAGATACATGAGCTGTTTGAGTGGACATATAGAATTACCGAAGACAACAGCAACAGTATGACATATCTGAGACTTCCATCCTAAAACCAGAAAACTCTGTTGTGTATTACTGTGTGAAAGACAAACAATGGTTTAAGTAATGACATAAGCTTTACAAAAACCTTCAGCCATACAGTTTCACAAGAACCTACAGGGGGCAACAGATGATCAAAAATATGATGATCAACTCACTGTCACAATAACACCTGTGTTTATCCTCTATGAATGCTTTTAAAATATAAAAAAGACTTTTGATTATAATGAAAAATAATATGGAAAATATCATTCAAAAACACTGAAACACCATTTTTAAGAGGGATACAAAAATAGATATACACAATGGCACATTCAAGAATCCTTGTGTAATTTTCCAAATTATGCATTCACACAATATGTTTGTAGGAGCATCCTCTGTGAATCAGAGCTTCTTCCTGAGTTAATAATAGATACATATTATATTAACACAATTTTAAGTGAGAGTCCTCTTGTGAGAGGGCTCTCAGAGTCCTTCTCAATATGCAAAGTGAACTTCCTGACAGTCTGCTATTAAGACGTGAAATCATGGCCCTGGTTACAGAAGAAGATGAGATGTTCTAATCAGATCAACTTCAGTACCAACATGTTCTCTTTAGCTCTGCTGCTGCTGGCTGCTGGATCCTGTGAGTCTCACTGAGGAACTCACACTATGATAAAAATACATTGCTACACTGTTTCAATATTCCACATGTTTTCCTCCTCAGGTGTAAAGTGTGAACAGCTGACCCAGCCAGCCTCTGTGACTGTGCATCCAGGGGATCGTCTGACCATCACCTGTCAGACCTCTTATTCTCTTAGCAGCGCTCGAACATTTTGGATCAGACAACCTGCAGGAAAAGAACTGGAGTGCATTGGTAGTGTACATGTTGGACACAGCACACGGTACAAAGACTCACTACAGAACAAGTTTAGTATCGACATAGACTCCTCCAACAGGACCGTGACTCTGATTGGACAGAATGTGCAGCCTGAAGACTCAGCTGTGTATTACTGTGCCAGAGAACCACCCACAGTAACACAAAGCATCATGAGACCTGAACAAAAACCCCTCAGTGACTGAACACACGAAGCCACAAGAGGGTGATCCCTCAGAGCACCAATGATTTCAGATCAGCACAATAAGAAGAAATAAGATGTCACTTAAAAAGCAACAGCATGTAATTAAATGAGTCATAATAAGTTTAATATAATAACCATAAAAGTCTAAACGATCCTTCTGTTGGTCTATTCTCATTCTTAAAACACAGGCTTTTCACAGACTGATTACTCACACATGGTGTACCTTGCCTCTTGCTGGATGACCCCAAGTTAGAAAAGTAGTTGAAAATTTTAATGCATGGATAACAAAATAAACTAAACAACAAAAGCAAAACATTTTATTTTTTGTTTTTCAACCCCGTATTGTTAATTAAATCATTTAACTTCACTTCTGTCCCAGATAGCATTTTTTCCAACATAATAGAAGATAACACGAGACTGAACTCACTGTTATGCTTTATCAAAAATGGGTCTTTGTCTGCTTTATATGTGTATGTGTGTGTGTGTCTGTGTGTGTACTACATCGCATCTTCAACCTTCTTTTTAAACCTTTTTTAAAGATGTATTTGAATAATATTTAAGCCTGACATTTTAGTCCCTCCCTAATAAAATTTAGATGGCTTACTTCTGTCCTCGTAGGGCCTGGCTGTCATCTTGTCTAATGGGAAGCACTTCCTTCACAACTTCACTTTCAAGATGATGCTCAGACTCTCTGCTCTGGTGACAGTGCTCTGTCTACCCTGTAAGTCATATAATTTTATAACTGACTCTTTATTTATTTATTTATTTATTTTCTGTTAATTTATGAAGTGACTCTTTTCTCCCAGTTTCACTCATCTCACTGGTTCTTTCCAGGTTTAAATGGTCAGGCTTTGGAGTCCATTCCCTCCACGTCAGTGTTGAAAAAGCCTCAGGAAGCCTTCAGTCTTTCCTGTAGAGGGTCTGGTTTTGACTTTGGGCAGCATGGAATGCACTGGATCAGACAACCAGCAGGAAAGACACTAGAATGGATGGGAGTTATTTGGTATGATGCAAGTAAAACCATTTATGCCAGCAGTGTGCAAGGACGTATAGAAATAACCAGAGACAACAGCAACAGCATGGTGCATCTGAGCCTTTCCAGCCTAAAGCCAGAGGACTCTGCTGTGTATTACTGTGCTAGAAAGCCACAGTAACACAACCCTTCACTAGAACTGAACAAAAACCCCTCACTGAACAGTTCTAACATGAAACCACCAGAGGAGGAGCTCTCGGACCACTGATGATTTCAGATCAGCATAATAAGTCAATACATAACATTGAAACATAATCTCGAAACAAAGGTGATTATTAATTCCAGTTCTCATAAACATTATTTCTCACAGACGAAGGTTACTTTTCTTAATCCCTCTTCTTTTCTTCAACAACCAAAAACATATTCTGGTATACATAACCCTCAAAGTAAACCACATTGCTATATGTTTCTTCGAAAGCATAAAAAATATGAAAGTGTTGCATAGTTTAGTAGTTACAAGTTCATGAGTCCATGTTTACAAACAAAGCAAAAGAATACAATTTAATGCTTTTTTTTATTTAAAAAAGATGAATGAAAAATATTTCAGTCAGCTATTTTAGCGGCCCAAGGACTTTGCAACCTGGTCTTCTACTGTGTGCCTTTCTCTTGTTCTGTCTATATTCCTGCTGTTTGTATATATCTCTCATGTTTTTTTATTTATTTCTGCTATCTTACTATTTATATTTTATACCTGCATAGTTGGTGTGGAGCACAATTTTGTTATGCATACAATGACAATAAAGGACTGTTATATTCCTTTCTGTAGCTCTTCGTTTTATACTGATTTGATATTCAGCATTTGACACCCAGCCTCTATTTCAGGCTTTAATTTATTTGTGCTTTTTATCCAATTTAATTTATTGCTTTACAGTACAACTGTACATCCCTCATGAGTTATGGATAAAGATATAATTTTCCCTTTTTTGCAAGGTGCCATTATGGATTATTCTTCTAAGGGATAAAACCTAGAGTTTTAAATCTAAAACACATTGAAGTGTGCAAAAAATTACTCATACTCTATATGCATTCATACAGTAAAGACTGAATAACACTGCAGAAAATAAAACACCTCAACCAATCGCATAAATGTACAGATTAAATTTGCCATGTGAAACAAATGAAATCAACTTTTTTCACCCAAATTTAAATTTTAATGTTCAGATTTTGTTGTTTTTTATCTTTAAATCTTAAGTATGTAATGCATATGTAGCATATATATCCTTAAGACTTCACAAGTAATGCTAACAATCTGTATGCTTACCATTTATTCCATTTATTCACAACAAAGCCAAATAAAAATGTAAATTAACTTTCTCTTTCATTACTACTCCTGTTGTTTTAATTTTAATGAACCCTAATAAAAAACACACTACACATATGATAAACCAGCTATATTAAACATCATTAACTACTAAAAGCTACAATTAAACTAAAGAATGACTATCTTTTTGAGCCCCTCTCTTTTCTGATATCATGATGCAAATCTTCATCCCGTGCTGGTCTTTTAATCACATCTCCACCAGGATGATGAATACACTCACTCCCCTGCTCATTGTTCTCTCTCTGCCCTGGCAGTTGTCTCGATTCTTATTTTTCTCATATCAAAAAAAACCACTGGAATTGATCGGGAGCAGCTTCTCAACTTCCAGCAGAAACAGTTATGCAAGCAGTTTGAGAGGATGTGGAGAAATCAGCAGAGATGACAGCAACAGCATGGTGTATTTGAGGTTGTCCAATTTGAGGCCAGAGGATTCTGCTATTTATTACTGTGCCAAAGAGAAACAAAGTGTTTAAAGCAGCTGAAGAGGCTTTACAAAAACATCCTGCCATCTGTTTTTAGAAGAACCCAAAGGAAGCAGTTGTTCATCAAAAACAGGGACACCGGCTGATAAGACAGTTGTAAGAAATTTCTTTTTAAAAAAGATGATAATGATAATAATAAAACATTATTTAGAAAAAAGCAAATAATGAAAATAATGGACATAGATAAACAAAAACAAAAAAAAGATTGCCACCTATCAGACGTTTATTAAACCTTTTAAATAAAAATATTTTTAATAGGACCAGAAGTTCCCATGCTATCACCTTGAGTACCAACCTGTTGTCTGTAGCTCTGCTGCTGCTGGATCCTGTGACTCTCACTGAAGTCGAGACACTAACAGCAAGATCACGGCACATTAAGTGTTACTGTTATTACAGTGATATTCAATGTTTTTTTCAAAAACATTTAAACATGAACAGTCGGCACAGCTTTCCTCTTGAAATATGCAACTCACTGAATACTGAAAACAACATTTACTGAAAAAAAAGAACTTTTGTGGCACAGGTCTAACTGTATATCTTTGTGAATAAAGAATAAGATTTGAAATGTCAGTTTTATTTTTTATTTTCTGTTTATGAACGCCCACATAAACGTGGGTTGTAAAACATATATTTGAATAAAAGAAATTATTTTATGCATATGATATAAAAGGAAAGCTTAGACAGATGGATTCATCTTTTTTTTTAGCTTTCAGTGTGTATCAAAAGTGTTTAGAAAACAAAATCTGCAAATTCAACACTTAATTAAATAAGACAATAAATAAGACATAAGCTGAATTTTTTTTTTCCTTTTTAGTTCATATAAACCTCCACTGTTTTAAATAGTTTAAGTGTGTAAATGTATGTGTGAATGGGTGGATGACTGGTTGTGTAAAGCGCTTTGGGGTCTTTAGGGACTAAGTAAAGCACTATACAAATACAGGCCATTTACCATTTAAGCACTAATTAAGCACAATAATGTAACACCTTTTTTGCACAACCCATTTTCCATAGTTCCATTTTATTGGAAAACACCTAGCAATGACCCACATTTTTCTGCAGTCAGAAACATATTTAACTTAAGGGTTGCCTGATATATGAGAGTTATTTTTACAGGTGGAAACTTCAGTAACCTTTCTGCTATAACATGTTTGTATCCATGTATGCAAATTGCACTTCCTCACAGTCTCCTATAAGAGTTGAGATCATGCCATCAGTGACACAAAGGAGGCAACATGTTCTCTGTAGCTGTGCTCCTGCTGCTGCTGGTTTTTGGAACCTGTGAGTCTCAATACGGAAAAGACAGAATATGATTATAAGATTCTGCCGAAACACAGATTCAGTATTCAACATGTTTTCTCCACAGGTGTAAAATGTGAGCAGTTGATACAGACAGCATCTGTGACTGTGCAGCCAGGTCAGCGTCTGACCATCACCTGTCAGGTCTCTTATTCTCTACGCAGCTGGAGGACAGCTTGGATCAGACAGCCTGCAGGGAAAGGACTGGAGTGGATTGGAGGTGCACATTATGGACACAACACATACTACAAAGATTCACTAAAGAACAAGTTCACCATCAACTTAGACACTTCAAGCAAGACGGTGACTCTAAATGGACAGAATATGCAGCCTGAAGACACTGCTGTGTATTACTGTGCGAGAATGCCACAGTAATACAAAGCATCAGTGGAGCTGAACAAAAACCCCTCAGAGCTTCAACATGTGTAACATCCTCCACCAGTAGAGGAGCTCCCAGACTACAGAACACTATTATCTGCTGCATGTCGCTGTTTAGCACTGGAGATTGCCATGATAATATATATTCTTTTAAAGTTATAGTTATAGAGAAAGTTTAAAATTTTATATTTCCATTTCAACCTTAATAACTTGCTAAATTTTTGACATTTTGTTTCTGGAATTAAGTGACAATAATATATTTTGATACTTATTTATATGATTAGTTTTAAAAAGTTCTTAAAGTTCATTAAACGTTCTTCCAGCTTTGTGTTAAACCACCTGTAATGAAGGTTAGAATTGGTTGTCTTTCATTATTTGCAAAAAAAAAAAAAAAGGCAGGACTCATGCTGAAGTTCAGTGAATTTATTTAAAGCGAATTCAAATACAAACAAAAGCTTGGCACTTTTCCACAAATCCACGCTGATACACAGATTCTCTCCTAAAAACACCAAATAGCTCTCCTCTCTTTAGCAGAAATTTTGAGATGGACAAAGGTCTAGGAGCCAAGTTTTGCTGACCGATGCAATGCAATGATCCAGCAAAGACTGACGGTCTGACATTACATCAAGTAGTGGCTGCAAAAAAGTGCATAGGGAACAGGTGTGTGCTCGGATAACCTGAGATGTGTCCCAAGTCCACACAAAAATAGCACAAAGGATAGAAAGAGAGAACATAGAGAACTGAGGACAAAGCAATCTTCCTGAAATATTCACATTATATAAGTCAAAAAAAGTCATCATGAGGGTAGATGAGAGAAGGCTAATGTTTATTGTTTAGTCAAAGTTTTACAGATAAAACATGTTTTAGATTTAATTAAACAAAAATAAATAAATAAACAGTAAACTTATATTTGTCACTTCCTCCCAATGATATCCTGATATTAATCTTCAGGCTTTGCAGTTTGCATGTTTTCTCTGTTTCAATCATCAGAAAAGATGCAAAAGTTAATGACCCTGTGTTTCCGGCTGCCTGGATATCAGGTTGTGCCCTCTGGCTATTTAAAAGAAATCTTAAGGGCACTTCAGATACAATGTGACGACAGTACTGCTGTGCCCAGAAACTAATTATGTCTAATGGCTTGCCCCCGCACCATTCTACTTGTCCTAGTAGAAAAAAAGAAGATCATAGCAGAAAAAACCCCCAAAATAAATTATGTACTACATGCTGAACAGGGCAGCCAGTGCAACAAACATTTCAGGTCATTTACTCAAACTAGCAGTCTGGGCAGCACGCTCTACTTTTTATATAAAGCTATTATAACCTATCATTCTATTCATCTGTTAGTTGCTAAAAATATTTACTAAGTTCTTTATATACGGCTGAGTTTACTTTGTAGGAGGAGTCTATGTAAAACTGATACCTTCAGCAGATTTACGTTTTTTGTTCAAATTAATTGTTATGAAGTAAACTTTTTGGAATAATAAGCCATTAACATTTCTGTAGGTTCTGAGGGTCAAACACTGACTGAGTCTGAATCAGTGATTAAAAGGCCTGGAGACTCCCACAGACTGACCTGTACATACTCAGGGTTCAGTGGTGATTATAGTAATGCTTGGATCAGACAGGCTGCTGGAAAAGGACTGGAGTGGATTGCTTGGATCAGCAGTGGCAGCAGCAGTATCTACTACTCTCAGTCATTCAGAGGCCGCTTTACAATCTCCAGAGACAACAGCAGAAAGCAGGTGTATCTGCAGATGAACAGCTTGACGATTGAAGATTCAGCCGTTTATTATTGTGCTCGAGAGTCACAGTGACACAAGAGGAAGAAATGCTCTACAAAAAGTCAGCCCATCAAAAGATGGAACAATTTGCTGCCAGCTGTTTTTCCCCTTAAAGTTACAGAAATTACAGTTAAGTTATCGAAAGATGTAATAACACTGCCTCAATGGGAAATGCTTTTATGATGTCTTGTCTTAATTTATTTTTTTATCAATTAAAAAAAAACCAAAGACAAAGACATATTAAAATCTAAATTTCTGTTTTAAATAATTTTCTTTTAATTATGCCCAAACCAATACTACAGTACAACCACAAGGCCATTCATTCTCTCTTTTAGTTGGTCATTGTCCTTCTGTACAGAAAGCAAAGCTCCTCACACACCGATATAAAGATTAATATCAGCCTGGTGCAGGAGAAAATGAGAAGTTTTGGGTTATCACCCTCAGTACAAGTTTTCTGTAGCTCTCATGGCGCTGTTGGATCCAAAGAGTCTCACTGAGGCAATGACAGTATGATAAAAATACATGGTTTTATTGTATTGTTTTATTATATTAGGGATCTTGCAGGGACAGAACTGGATTGATAATACAAATTATACTGCACAAGGACAAGTTGACTATCATCTTAGACACTTCAACCAGGACGTGTATTACTGTGCCAGAGAGTCACAGTAATACAAACCATCAGTATAGCTGAATAAAAAATCCCTCAGAGCCTCAACACTGGTAAGTGTTAATAACTCAATAGGTCAGTCATGACAAATAAGAAAATGTCCATAATTAAGTCACAATAATTTATGACAATGACAAAAAAAAATTCAATGTCACATCCCTAATCAAATTCCCACTCCCTCACTGTGACATCCTGATACAAATCTTCATGCAGTTTATAGCAGCACAAAACATCCAAACTCCACTTGTTGCTTGCAGGTTAATCCATATTTCTATTTCATCCTGTCCCTTGCAATCTGTATTAAAAATAAGCTTCCTCACAGACACATATAAGAACTTGACATGGTGAATTTTGTTGAACCCGAACAAGAGAAGCTTCCAGAAGATCACTTTCAGCACCAACATGTTCTCTGTAGCTCTGCTGCTGGATCCCGTGAGTCTCACTGAGAAGAAACACTGACATCATGGATGCCACGCACTGTTACTTTATGTACAATTAAATACAGTGTGAACAGTTGACACAGCCAGCCTCTGTGACTCTGCAGCCAGGTCAGCGTCTGACCATCACCCGTCAGGTCTCTTATACACCTTCGGTGCTTGTTTCCTGCGGGGGAACACGGCGGGTCTGTGTGCTGCGCTGTAATGGTAGCGCTGTGCAGGACAGCTGCTGTGTTTGCTTCGGATTACTCCTCACCCCCCACCCAATCCTGTGGCTTGTCATGTCTTTCACAATGTTGTGCTGTGGACATGTGCATTTTGTTTTTTGTTTTTTTGTTTCCTGTTCTCATGCTGTCCTACCATGGAAGCACAGCATGAGTAGAGGTCTCTTTTTTTTCCTCTTGTACTTTCCCATTGTAGTGTACATTTCAGTGTTTTTCTGTAACGCTACCGATCTCCGACTTGTATCCCCACGTAATGTCTGTGTTGTGTGTGTAAGGTCGGGGGGGGGTGGTGTGTCCCCATTTCACTTCAGGGCAACCAGCATGTGGCGAATAAAGCTTTGATTGATTATTTGCTGAACTACCACAAGGCTTGGATAAAAAAAAAAACCTGCAGGGACAGGACAGGATATTCTGCAGACTGCAGATTCATACTACAAAGATCCACCGAAGAATAATTTCAGTATCGAGTTTAAAAACTTCAAACAAGATTGTGACTTGAAAATTGACCAGATTTGCAGACTGAAGTCACTGGTGTGTATTACCATAGCGCCAGAGAGACACAGCCCATCAGCTTAACAAACCCCCTCAGTTGTAGCATCAAACTACCAGAGGAGGAGCCCTCAGATCATGAATGAATTCATTCACGATTATTTTTCTCTGGAAGTCAGTTTGTTGATAAATTCTCCAAGGTGAGTCTGTAAGCACATCTTATAATAATAATGATAATGATGATAAAATGTCACAGAATCAAAATAATTTCAATGAGAAATTTAAATATAGTGAGATTAAATGATACTTGTTGATTTGAGGTTTTGTTTGAAATCTCACCATCTTCACTTTTTCAAAGAATTTGTCTCTTTTGAAAGACAGATAACTTGTTTTTAGGTTGAGATAGAAATTATTTAATGAATTGATATAATATATCTGTAAAGAGAAATCCTCATCATCCACAGACCTCCAAAAACCTGTGCAGATACTCAAAATGCAGACCAAAGTTTCTCATGAAATACTTCATCATCCTTTTTTTTTGCTTCCAAAAAAATAATTTTAACATCTATAATATTAATTATAAAACTGGAGCACTGCAGTTAATGTTCCCATAACTCTTCATTTATGTGTTATCCAATATTTTTATTACTCATATGATCATGTTTGTGTTTTATAAGTATTAATCAAAAAACGTCATTAAGAAAATCTTCACCTTAACCTGTTTTATTGATATAATCAGACTTTAAAACAGATTTATTTTTTACATATCCTAACTACATGGCTAATTGTGACTGGTCTTAAAAAAATGTGGGATGAATGCAAAACCACAATATTTTTGCATGCTGCTCCTCCTCTATAAATCTGACTTCAGAGAAGATGACAGGAAGCTAAGGACACACAGTTTGACAGTATGGACTACAGGACAGGACTGCTGCTGTTAACTATCTGCTGGGCAGGTGAAAACACTCATAGACCTGATATTACACAACATTTATTTCTCTCAACAAACTATTTAACTTAGTGTGATTTGGTGCTGTTGACAGGTGTTGATGGTCAGACTCTGATTGAGTCTGAACCAGTCATTAAAAGGCCTGGAGAATCCCACAGACTGACCTGTACAGGCTCTGGATTCACATTCAGCAGCTACCCTATGAACTGGGTCAGACAGGCTCCTGGAAAAGGACTGGAGTGGATTGCTTTTGTACACACAGGCAGTTCTCATTTCTTTTACTCCCAGTCAGTCCAGGGTCGATTTACTATTTCCAGAGATGACTCCAGCAGTAAAGTCTATCTACAGATGAACAATCTGAAGACTGAGGACACAAGCAGTTTATTACTGTGCCCGAGAGACACAGTGAGACACAGCAACTGGAGAGTCATACAAAAACTACTTCCT